TGCTGCCAGTGATGAGGTTTGTTTGGAAGTCTCTGAAGTTCTTGAATAGGCTGTTAGTGACAAGTAGTGTACATAAGAAAAGAATACAACAGTAATAATCCGCAGCAAAGTACTAGTGAAATTATAGTTTTTATTCACTGCACTAGCTAGCTGTAAAGTACCTGAGAAAGTGGAATCAGCTGTCGTCCATAAAACATGACTGCATGAGAATCAAGAAAGCAGGTCATTATAACTCATGTTGAAGTGCTGTGAGAAAGATGGGTGTAAATAGTAAAACTGTTCATTGTATCCCACTGTCATTAATAGAGGTAGGAGAGAAGTTATTAAATAAAATAAGACAGGATAAAACAAGTCTAATGTTGCTCTACGTCCTACATACTTTCCTTATTTTCTAATAAGTGACAAAAAAGAGACAATTTATTTTTCTCAAATAAACAGCAATGCCCTCATTTAAAAATCACAATAACTATCGGGGTATCACAATGCTCAGCCTCCTGGGAAAAGTTTAATCTAGGGTGCTGGAAAGGAGGCTCTGACGGATTGTCGAACCTTGGATTCAGGAGGAGCAATGTGGATTCCATCCTGGCTGTGGAACAGTGGAGCAGCTCTTTACCCTTGTGGGAGGTATTGCAGGACTACGGGGTACCGGGCTTACTGCTATGAGCTATCCAGTCCCTGTATGACCAAAGTGAGAGCTGTGTCCGCATACTCGGTGTAAAGTCAAACATGTTCTCGGTGAGTATTAGCCACAGCCAGGGTTGTCCCTGGTCACTGATCCTGTTTGTGATATTCATGGACAGGTTCTTGTGGCGCAGCCGGGGGTAGGAAGGGGTCTGATTTGGGGACCTCAAAAGTGCATCTCTGCTTTTTGCAGTCAGGATCAGAGTCAGCACCTCCAAATCTGAGGCCATTGTTCTCTGCTGGAAACTGGTGGATTGCCCCCTCCGGGTTGGGACGGGAAGGGGTCAGTTGAGGTGGTTTGGGCATCTGATCAGGATGCCTCCTGGGTGCCTTCTATTAGAGGTGTTCTGGGAACATCCCACTGCTAGCAGGCCCTGGGGCATACCCAGGACACGCTGGAGGGATTACATGTCTAATCTGGCCTGGAAAGGGTTGCTGGGGAGAGGGATGTCTAGGGTGCTTTGCTTGGCCTGCTGCCCCCGTGACCCGGCCCCAAGGGCGAAAATCCCATTTCATAGTTGGGGGGGGCAATAAACAGTAAAATTTTAGAGAATAATTCCAAAAAAAAGTTGAAGCCTGTCTTTTATACAGTATCTTTTACCGCAGTTTGACGCTTTAATCTTCTCTCTATCTCTCCAACAGGCAGGCATAGGACCTTTCTTAGCAATGGCTGAGTCCACCTGCACATGGCCAGATTTAAAATAGAATGATTGAAATCAAATTAACATGTACACAACATGTACACAACAACATGTACACAACGACAACAGTCAGGTGCACCGTGCTGTCCAAGGTGCTGAGTGTGTCTGGAGCAGAGCAGGTCTCTGTCTCCCCGTGCGCAGTAGTGTGAATATTTATGCTATTAAGTAAACGGAGAAAACATGTCTCTCATTGTTTAATTGTAGCAAAACAATAAGGCTTCATTCATCAAAGACAGAAACTCGATCTCTCTCCTTCTCTCCCTCTTTTTCATCTGGCTCAGGTGTGTGGAATGGATCCTTCGTCTCTGGCTGGCTGCAGGAGCAAACCATTTGTTTTGTTTTTTTTTTGTTTTTTTTACCGGCAGTGAGATCAACATTTCCTGCAATTAAACTGGTGAACTGGTTTATAAACAGTGTGCTGTGAGATCTGCCGCTGCGCACCTCAAAACCGTGCGTAAAATTTGTGCGTAATGGCCGCTCCTCATCAGTTAAACTGCACGTCTTTCATGTTTGTCTCACTGACAGGTGGAGAGCCTACAGATATTAACTACGAGCCACTCCGTCACTGACTGCTCTTGTCCTGTCCTCTCCCTCTTCTTTCTCTCCTGTCCTCTCTGACTATCACTAAACTCTGGCTTTTGAACAATGCAGGAGAAATGTTGCAGACAGTTTATATTATCAGCCTGGGCCTGGGGCTTGTTGTAACAGTAAATGGGATGTGT